GGCGGGTCCCCCGCAGGACCCCCGGGCTGGTCGAGGACACGCGCAGGCTCAGGGTCAGTGAGGCCAACCCCGCGGGCAGCGTCCGCAGGGGACACCCACCCCATCTCCTGCTGCACAGGGGAGGTCTCCACCACCCAGGTCGGTTCTTCGGCCCTGTGGCACGTCCTGCCGTGTTCCTCTCTGTGCCCAGCTCCCAGCCTCGGTGCTGGGGATCCCCCGTGTCCTCCCTGTGCTCGTCCTGCCCCGTGTTGGTTGTGTGTGGCTCCCTAACCCCAGCTCTGCTCCGTAGCTCTTTACCCGATGTAGTAGAGTGTGTGGGCGACTCCGTGCCCCGGTGTCACCCGTGCTGCCCCTACCCCAACCTGCCCCTCCTCACTGCCCTCCCCCATGTCTGACTGCTCTGTCCTCTCTCCCACCCTAGATGCAGGTGGCCCAGCAGGCTCAGCTCCGTCAGGAGACGCAGCAGCTCCAGCAGAGCTTCCTGACAGAGAAGGATGCTCTGCTGCAGAAGGAGAAGTTCATTGAGGAGGAGAAGGCGAAGCTGGAGAAGCTCTTTAAGGATGAGGTGAACAAAGCCCAGAACCTGAAGGCAGAGCAGGAGCGGCAGCAGCAGGAGATGGAGCAGGAGAAGCAGCAGTTGAAAGCCATGTTGGACGAAGCCAAGAAGCATCAGAAAGAAGCCGAGGAAAACGTCCGGCACAAGCAAGAGGAGCTGCAGCAGCTGGAGAGGCAGCGGCAGCAGCAGGAGAAACTGCTGGAAGAGGAGAACAAGAAGCTGAGGGAGAGACTCGAGCAGATGCAGGAGGAGTACAAGGCTGCCCTGGCCCAGACACGGGAGATCATGATCCAGACAGACAACCTGAGCGGGGAGGCCGCGGTGACGACGACGCAGCTGGTGGACATCAAGGCTGTGCCCAACGGGCGGGACATGGTGGACAGCCTAGCGCAGAACGGGGAGCCAGAGTTCGCCTTCGACGGCATCCGGCAGAAGGTGTCGGCGGAGAAGCTGGCTGACGCCGGCATTCTGAGCAGGGAGAGCCTGGACAAGTTGGTGAAGGGTGTTGTGAGCGTGGACGAGCTCTCGCAGAGGGAGGACATCAAGAAGTACCTGCAAGGCAAGAGCAGCATCGCTGGGCTGCTGATCAAACCCACCAACCAGAAGATGAGCATCTATGAGGCCATGAAGAAGCAGCTGATCAGCCCTGGCACGGCGCTGGTGCTCCTGGAGGCTCAGGCTGCCTCCGGTTTCATCATCGACCCCGTGCGGAACGCGAGGCTGTCGGTGAACGAGGCGGTGCGAGAGGGCGTGATCGGGCCAGAGCTGCACAACAAGATGCTGTCGGCTGAGCGAGCTGTCACCGGCTACAAGGATCCCTACACAGGTGACAAGATCTCCCTCTTCCAGGCCATGACGAAGGATCTCATCGTCAAGGACCACGGCATCCGCCTGCTCGAGGCGCAGATCGCCACCGGCGGCATCATCGACCCTGTCAACAGCCACCGCCTGCCCGTGGAAGCCGCCTACAAACGCGGCTACTTCGATGAGGAGATGAACCAGACCCTCTCTGACCCCAGTGACGACACCAAGGGCTTCTTCGACCCCAACACTCAGGAGAACCTCACCTACCTGCAGCTCATGGAGCGCTGTGTGACTGACCCAGAGACAGGGCTGTGCCTCCTGCCGCTCACTGACCAGGCGGCCAAAGCCAGGGAGCTGGTCTACACTGACAAAGAAGCCAAGGACGTCTTCAAAAAGGCTACGGTGACGGCACCGTTCGGCAAGTTCCAAGGGAAGACTATGACCATCTGGGAGCTCATCAACTCTGAATACTTCACTGAGGACCAAAGGCGAGACCTGATCCAGCAGTACAGGACTGGCAAGATCACGGTGGAGAAGATCATCAAGATCATCATCACAGTTGTGGAGGAAACTGAGAAGAAGAGCCAGATGTGCTTCGAGGGCCTGCGGGCACCCGTGCCCGCCGCAGAGCTGCTGGAGAGCAAAGTCATCAACAAGGACCTCTACAACCAGCTGCACCAGGGCAAGAAGTCCGTGAAGGACGTGACGGAGATGGAGTCCGTGCGGCAGTACCTGAAGGGCACGGACGCCATCGCCGGTGTCCTGGTGGAGTCGACGGGTCAGAAGTTCACCTTCTACGAGGCCCTGAAGAGAAACCTGCTGAAGCCAGAGGTTGCCCTGTCCCTGCTGGAGGCACAGGCTGCCACCGGCTACATCATCGACCCCGTGGCGAACAAGCTGTTCTCGGTGGACGAGGCGGTGAAGGCTGAGGTGGTGGGGCCAGAGTTCCACGAGAAGCTGCTGTCGGCGGAGAAGGCAGTGACCGGCTACAAGGATCCCTACACAGGGCAGACGGTTTCCCTCTACCAAGCGCTGAGGAAGGGCCTCATCCCCAGCGACACCGGGCTCCGACTATTGGATGTCCAGCTTGCCACTGGTGGCATCATCGACCCTGTCAACAGCCACCGGCTCCCACTCGAGGTGGCCTACAAGCGCGGCTACTTCGACCCAGAGATCAACGAGGCTCTGACCGAGCTCCGAGATGATGCCAAGGCTTTCTACTGTCCCAACACCCAGGAGCACCTCACCTACTCCCAGCTGCAGAGGATCTGCCACCGTGACAAGCAGACTGGACTCTGCCTGCTGCCCCTGTCTGACAAGGCCATCCAGTCACAGCAGGAGGAGGTCTACACTGACAGCCAGGCCAAGGAGTACTTCGACAAGGCCACCATAGAGGTCCCAGTGGGCAGCATGAAGGGGAGGACGATGACCATCTGGGAGCTGATCCACTCTGAGTACTTCACAGAGGAGCACAGGCGAGAGCTGCTCCGACAGTTCAAGACCGGCAAAGTGACCATCGAGAAGATCATCAAGATCGTGATCACCATCATTGAAGAGGCAGAGACCAAAAAGCAGGAGAAGCTGACGTTCACTGGTCTGAGGGCACCGGTGCCGGCCAGTGAGCTGCTGGAGTCCCACATCATCAGCAAAGCCCAGTACGAGCAGCTGAAGGAAGGCAAGAAATCGGTGAAGGACATCGCCGAGACGGACGCAGTGAGGAGGTTCCTGCACGGCAGCGACTGCATTGCTGGCGTCTACGTGGAGGCCACCAAGGAGAAACTGAACATCTACGAGGCCATGAAGAGGAACCTGCTGAGGCCCAGCACCGCCGTGATCCTGGAGGCCCAGGCAGCCACTGGGTTCTTGATCGACCCTGTGAAGAACCGCAAACTCTACGTGAACGAGGCGGTGAAGGCTGGCGTCGTCGGGCCTGAGCTGCACGAGAAGCTGCTGTCGGCTGAGAAGGCTGTCACAGGGTACAAGGATCCCTACTCAGGCGACACCATCTCCCTCTTCCAAGCCATGAAGAAAGGGCTGATCGTCAGGGAGCACGGCATCCGCCTGCTCGAGGCACAGATCGCCACCGGCGGCATCATCGACCCCGTGCACAGCCACCGCCTGCCCGTGGACGTGGCCTACCAACGCGGCTACTTCGATGAGGAGATGAACCGCATCCTCTCCGACCCCAGCGACGACACCAAGGGCTTCTTCGACCCCAACACTCAGGAGAACCTCACCTACCTGCAGCTCATGGAGCGCTGAAGGAGAGGTGCATCGAGGATCCCGAGACAGGCCTGTACCTGCTGCCTCTGCGGGAGCCCGAGAAGCCCAAAGTGGTGGAGAGCACCCAGGTGTACACCGAGGCAGAGACGCGGAAGGGGTTCGATCGAGGAGACGCAGGTGGACATCCCCGTGGGCAGCCGGGCAGGCTCCTCCATGTCGCTGTGGGAGATCATGCACTCGGACCTGCTGCCGGAGGAACAGCGGAAGCAGCTCATGGAGGAGTTCCGGTCAGGCCGAGTGTCCAAGGAACGCATGATCATCATCATCATCGAGATCATTGAGAAGACCGAGATCATCCGGCAGCAGAATCTCACCTCCTATGACTATGTGCGGCGCCGCATCTCAGCCGAGGACCTCTACGAGGCCAAGATCATCTCGCAGGACATCTACAACCTGCTGAAGCAGGGCACCAAGACCTTCCGGGAGCTCCTGGACGTGGAGACCGTGTGGACGTACCTCTACGGGTCGGGCTGCGTGGCCGGCATCTACATCCCCACCTCCAAGCAGAAGCTCAGCATCTACCAGGCACTGAAGAAAGGACTGATCACCCCCGAAGTGGCTCGTCCCCTCCTGGGGGCCCAGGCAGCCACTGGCTTCATGATTGACCCCACAAAGAACGAGATGTTGACGGTGGATGAGGCAGTGAGGAAGGGCGTGGTGGGGCCTGAGATCCACGACCGCCTCCTGTCCGCAGAGAGAGCTGTGACTGGCTACAGAGACCCGTACAGCGAACAGAAGATCTCCCTCTTCCAGGCCATGAAGAAGGATCTCATTCCCAGCGAGGAGGCCCTCAAGCTCCTGGACGCCCAGATCGCCACCGGTGGCGTCATTGACCCACACCTGGGCTTCCACCTGCCCCTGGAGGTGGCCTACCAGCGCGGCTTCATCAACAAGGAGACGTACGACATGCTGTCGGAGCCCAGCGAGGTGCGCAGCTACGTGGACCCTTCCACGGACGAGAAGCTCAGCTACACACAACTGCTGAAGCGCTGCCGGAAGGACGAGAACTCCAGGCTGCTCCTGCTCCCGCTCTGCGACACGCGGAAACTCACCTTCCGGGGGCTGAGGAAGCAGATCACCGTGGAGGAGCTGGTGCTCTCGCAGGTGATGGACGAAGCCACGGCCCAGCGCCTCCAGGAGGGCCTCACCTCCGTTGAGGAGGTCTCTAAGAACCTGAAGAAGTTCCTGGAGGGCACCAGCTGCATTGCCGGTGTCTTTGTGGACTCCACGAAGGAGAGGCTCTCCGTTTACCAGGCCATGAAGAAGGGCATCATCCGGCCTGGCACTGCCTTCGAGCTCCTGGAGGCGCAGGCAGCCACGGGCTATGTGATCGACCCTATCAAGGGCCTCAAGCTGACAGTGGAGGAAGCTGTGAGGATGGGCATTGTGGGCCCTGAGTTCAAGGACAAGCTGCTCTCTGCTGAGAGAGCTGTCACTGGCTACCGAGACCCCTATACCGGGAAGCTCATCTCCCTCTTCCAGGCCATGAAGAAGGGGCTGATCCTGAAGGACCACGGGATCCGCTTGCTGGAGGCTCAGATCGCCACGGGAGGCATCATCGACCCCGAGGAGAGCCACCGCCTGCCCGTGGAGGTTGCCTACAAGAGAGGTCTCTTCGACGAGGAGATGAACGAGATCCTGCTGGACCCCAGCGATGACACCAAGGGCTTCTTCGACCCCAACACGGAGGAGAACCTCACCTACCTGCAGCTCATGGAGCGTTGCATCACGGACCCGGAGACGGGGCTGTGCCTCCTGCCCCTGAAGGAGAAGAAGCGTGAGAGGAAGACTTCCTCCAAGTCCTCTGTCCGCAAGCGCCGGGTGGTGATCGTCGACCCGGAGACGGGCAAGGAGATGTCTGTGTACGAAGCCTATCGCAAAGGCCTCATCGACCACCAGACCTACCTGGAGCTGTCAGAGCAGGAGTGTGAGTGGGAGGAGATCACCACCTCCTCCTCCGATGGCGTGGTGAAGTCAATGATCATTGACAGGCGCTCGGGGCGCCAGTACGACATTGACGATGCCATCAGCAAGGGCCTGATTGACCAGTCAGCCCTGGACCAGTACCGCTCAGGCACCCTCTCCATCACCGAGTTTGCCGACATGCTCTCTGGCAACATGGGTGGCTTCCGGTCCCGGTCGTCCTCAGTGGGATCCGCCTCCTCCTACACCATCAGCCCAGCCCTGACGCGGACCCAGCTCTCCATGTGGACCGACCCGACCGAGGAGACGGGGCCGGTGGCAGGCATCCTGGACACGGACACTCTGGAGAAGGTGTCCAT